GGTTCTCAAAATGTGGAGAAATCAAACATTTGGACTGGGGCAGTGAAGGAACGTGAAACATGGTAAGTTTGGTGAGGGCCATTGTTTCTTAAAATATTTCTTTGAGATGAGACTGTTATCTATCCTTCTCTCGTCCAAGAGTGTCCTTCTCTTGTGGTGAGAGTTTGATCTCCGGCGAGAGGCTGCTCTTTGGAGTCGAAGGTTAATTCAATAGAGCGTGTTGTAAGGGGTTTCCTATCGTGTGATCTAGGGTTCTCGTTTTGTAGCCATTTAAGGCTTTCTGGCTGGCGTTATGGAGAATTGGGAAAGTGTATCTCTGAAGCGGAAAATCTAATCACGATATTGAGGAGAAAGAGTGCAATCGAAGTTTATGTAGCAAAGTATTTGGAGATAAAGCTCATTGGATGGGATTAAAAGAACTATGGGGCTGCTCTGGAAATTAGGGAATTCCCTTGAAGTTAGAGAGCTCAACGTAAACTATTTACAGATCATTTTTCAGAGTAGAGAGACCACCAAGAAAGTGGACCTAGGAAGGAGTTGGGTTTTTGAGAATCAATATCTCATCCTGCAGGAATGAAAAGAGAGTCTTTCTTAAACACACCCGAGCTTTGGAGAACTCACAGTTTGGGTGCAAGCTCATATAGTCCCAATAAATTGGTTATGTATCGATGTGGGTCTGAAATTAGGAAGAGCTTTTAAAGGCATCAGAAATGTGAATCTAGCTAGAGCAGGAAATCAAGAGGGTCGTGTTATAAGGATCCAAGTAGTAATTGATTTAAAGGATCCTCTACCAAGATGGTCCACAATTAGATTGGGGGAGCAGACAGTTACAGTGCAGTTCAAATATGAAAAGATTGTTAGTGTTTGCTATTACTGTGGGAGGCTAGGACATATAGACATAAACTGTGCTAAGTGAATGGAGGATATAGCAAAGCATGAAGGAATGACTGAAAGCTTGGTTTGTGATTTCAGAGTTGGAGAGAGAGAGTCCCCTCCAACTAGTAACAAAGTGACCCTTCAGAAAATAGGCCAAATGCCCCAGGTCTGTCCTCGGGCCAGAGAAAGGCAGCACACAAATGACAAGCCCTCTGCCGCCGCCGCCCAACTCCGGGGACATCCATTAGCGACCAACTCGACCTTCTACCAACCTCGAACAAGAAGCTCCTGGTGCCGTTGAGCAAACGGTCAGAGTGGCTATCTCCAATTGCGTCAAATTGGCCAGAGATCCGTGCCTGGAGGAGACTACCGAACACTAGCTAATTTGAATTGGGTATTTTTTTTTCTTTGAAAATTAGAAAGGGTTCAAGGACCTAATTGCAATTTTATAAATTTTAATTATATTTCAATTCAGACATCAGGCAAAATCTATAATTATTGAAAGTTAATAAAAAGTTTTGTTTTATATAGTTTTTATACATATATATATTAATTAATTAATAAAATATTAAATAAAATAATAATAAATATTAAATAATAAAGATATTTCAATTATTTAGTGTAATTCGTTGCATAATTAATTTATATCTACTAAAACTAGTTTTCAAATACACATAATTTATCTAGGATCACATAAAGTAAAACACTTTATATATCAAATATCAATACGCTTTTATATATCAGTACGCTGCACTTTATAAGACAACACACTGCACTTTATTAAGCAACACGCTGCACTTTGTCTCCACAAACCACAATTAAAGTCAATAACTACCGCCAAAATACCACACAACATAATTCCAAAAAATGGATCTAGATAATATTTTAACATTCATCACATCATATGTAAAAGAAAAAAAAACATGCTAACGTACAAAATTTACAGTACTGCACTTTTTATATCAACACGTTCCACTTTATAAAACAACACGTTGTACTGTATCATGACTATCAGATTGCACAATATAAATTGAAACCGACCGAACACAAATTTTTCAACCAAAAATAATAAATAAAATTATTCACATATTAAATATAATTTTAATATAAATAATAATTTATTTCTTTATTTAGGATTATTCTCTTAACCGGGCCGAAAAAATCATTTATTTATGTTTATTTTCAATTTGATTTGGGACAAAAGTTCTGTTGGTTCAATTTGCTCAATACAGACCGATACCGTGGACCATAATGTTGGACGGATTGCACGTTAAAAACTGATAGATTGCACAATATATTCGTTTACATTTATACTAATTTTTTAATCAAAAACTAATGTAACTATCAAAATAAAAAATACTAAATATTAATATTTTTTTATAATAAATAATATAATTTATGTCGGTTATTTTGGTTATTTATGTTAACCGACAAATTAAACCGATTATATCAAAATTTTTTGTTTGAAACTTTATATTTCATTTCGATTATTCGATTTTTACTTTTAAAGCGCATATCCATGCATAATATTGTGCAGTTCACTTGTAATATCGTATTTATCAAATTTTTAATAATTTCGTATACGTATAACATTATTTTTTAAAGTGTGCACCTACACACAAATATTGTGCATCTAATGTGTCATTATCGTGCATAAATTAATCTTCATTAAATTATAAATTGCTCTTCATAAATAAAAATATACATATATTAAAAGTTTCTCTCTCTCTCTCTCTCACACACACACACAACACATACACACACACACACAGAGAAATACATACAACCGGGGACCCTACTCTCACCAGATTCACGCTGGTCGTCGACCACACACACACACACACACACTCAGCGGCGACCCTTCAGTCCTGTGCTCAGAAAACACCGGCGTGCCACCAAACCCCGCCCACGGCCACTGCCGGTCACATCGCCCGCCTTCATCGGTCTCGCCTCATTTTTCTCTCATTCTCATCACACACACACACACACACACACACATAACATCTACAGAGGCGGATTCCTATTCTTGCCGCCAGGGCGCTAGTCGCCGGCTGCCGACCGAATCAGCCCCATCGTCGCTGTTGGTTAGCATCAACCGCCATATTTGGCCCAATAACCGCCGGCAGCGCCACGAGAAGAGAGCATGATTAATGGCAATAAGCTGGAATTTAACAATTAGCCAACGAGATTCAAGCGACCGCTAGTCGTGAGTAATATGGCGTGACTGGACAAACGAAGACGGTGGCGGGAGACGCGCGGCGGGAGGTGGACATGCAATCGGTGTGTGTGTGTGTCTGCAGGTGCGTGAGTTATTGTGTGTGTTTTGATTGTGAGTGTGTGAGAGAGAAAGAGAGATATTAGGGTTAGTGGTTGTGTGTGGGGTCCACTAGGTGATTGGGATTCTTTGTTAGTGACTAAAATACCCTTAGTGAGTAGTCAAATATTTACATTTGACCACATTATGACTACTCATTTACGAAATTGCCGCAAGATGTTTGAGTGTCATATATAAGATTTGACTTGATCATAACCATTGATATGTTAGATCCAATAATCTAAAATGATTCACTTTCTATCATTCTTATATGAAAAACTTGTTATAAATATATGAGTATGGACATTACTAATCGATAATTGGGCCTGAAGTCCATTAGTTATGGAAATTAGGTTTTAGGGTTTCTCACTTGTAAACCCTATAAAAGGGTGATATACGATGAATAAAAAGATATACTTTTCTGCTCTTCTGTCTCTTGTTCTCTCACTCGTTTCTCTTTACTTTGTTTGGTGTGGATTGATGAATGCTTGAGGATCCCAATTTACAACACGTTATCAGCACGAGTACTCTACCATCTAAGCGAATAGTGGCGGCATCAAGGCAAACTTGCAATCAAGGTAACAATCAAGAATTGGTGAATGACTCAGAAAAGAGATCATCAAAATTATAATTATGTCATCTTCCACATCAAGTAAGTGTTTCGTATAACCAAATTATTTATTCAAGATGAAGTTTACATATGGTATCAAAGCATGTGTTGTGAATAAATAATTTGTATCTGTAAGTCTCACGAGTTTATCTATGCGTAATTTCTATTGGGAGTTCGATTCATATGCATGTTTTAATTGTTTATGTTTCCGGGAAATTAATGGCATGAATTTCAATTATGTCTTGTTCGCGAATTAATTTCCTAAATATGATGTTCCAATTCACATAGCTTGTCCGTGAATAAAATTTGTATCATGTACGTAATTGGAGATTTGCTGTATCCATTAAAATTGAATCGTAATTATATGCGCATCAACCTGAAAGTTTGCGATGCCCTCGTTTTGTTTGAAAATCCGAATTTTTAATAGAGCATGTTCATTGTCGGCTGCCATCATAATTATATTCAATGTATAAAGGCTTTACACGTTTCTGCAATATGAAATTATGCATCTAATGACTTATGCGTTTGGTCAATTGGTAAAACATATGTGCTATTAGAATAATTATTATGTCTTATTCATTCCATTTGACAATTTTCTTTTTGATGACTGCGAATGTTTAATTGGTACAATACACTATTATTTCTATAAGCCATATCAGTTGAGTTATTTTATGTATAGCTGTAATGTTTGTAGATTCAACTGTTTGATCTTGTCGTTTTGGATTTATGCGAAACCTGTTATTTTCCCCTGATTACTGCTTTTGTTTTTGAATGGCTTAATTTGAGTGGTAAATAATTTGGTTTGGTGCATATATTCATTAGTTATTGTATCGAGCAGCAAAACTTAAGTATGAATTATTTGCTTGGCGGGATATCTGTACATGCTAAACAAATTGATTATATGAAACAATCAGGCATAATTAAGTCTTTAGGAATGCTAAACCTCTCAAATTATTTGTTCAATTAATTGAAGTGCACTGTTTGATATATTATTTGGGGTACTGTGCAACTTGGACTTTGGTAATTAGAATTTTAAATTTTGGATTCAAATATTGGTATAAAATTTTATATATTTTGAGATATATTATTTCATTGGCATGATTTTCGCATAAGGATTCGGATATGAATAATATGGATTATTTCAATATATTAAGAATAATGATATAAAAGTAGTTTATTGAGATTGTATTAGTGCCAGAAGCACATATACAAAGGTATAATTTTTCACATGAGATATATGATAGAAAATTATCTCTATTTTGTAAGACAATATGTTTCCTTTATTTATATGTGCTTATTTGTATATGAGCATCTCTTGTTTGATATGTATCATATTATTCTTCACGTTACTTTTTCATATTTGAAAGTGGTAACACACGTATATGTTCAGTAGACATTATACTCTATATAAGGTTTATCTCGATGATATTTTGTCCATGAATCTGAATACGCATGAAGCATATGTGGATTAATTTTAACATGTGAATATTGTGTGTGCCGTTTGGAATACATATGGTGAACCTATCAACATATGCAATTACGTCATGAATTTAGTTTGAAAATTATGGTTTCATATTTTGTTTCGTTGTTTATGCATTAAGTATTGACGTGATCCAAGTTATTGATTCTAAATCAATTTGAATATATATTTTGAATTTTAGTCTAATTGACTAATGAACCAATGAATGGTATGCAACATGTATATTTATTTTCTAATTTTGTCATGAGTTGTAGAGCAAATATCCTGTTGAATTTTATGCATATCGATTTGAGTTTCCCTGAAGGATTAATGTCTCCCTAGTGAATTTGAATACCTTATTGATCTAGATTTGGATATCCCTGAAGGATTGGTCCTGACCAGTGTCTTCATTGAATAAGAATTATCTTGAGTATCTTTGACAGATTGATCTAGTAAATAATTTCGTTGATTTGTATATAAGTATTATGAAATTATTTATGTTTATTTGTATGTTTGATAAGATGGATACCATTGACTTATATTGTTGATAGCTACAATATTAAATTTATATGTGGTGCCCGAAGCACATAATATTGTTGATAGCTACAATAACAGACTCACAATTAAAGTTCAATTGTAGTGCCTGAAGCATATAGTGTTCACTTAGAAATGAATTATTATACTTCGATGCCCAACTTATATATTTGATAATTGACATGAGCAGTTGGATCATATTGGACAATTATTTATGATACTTTCCCCCTAAAATCCATGGAGAATTGAACATTTCCCATCTGCAATTTATTATTATTATGCATCATTTTATATCACCACCAATTCGTACCTTTAAGGGCCTATATTACAAACTAGGTATGCTATGATTTTTATACTCCGTCGAATTTTTTTTAGTACCTAGAGGCCATTATAGGGGATCAATTTATTCTTTGGTACGTTTTTTTGCATAATACATGAAGATGATTTCACGGCATTAGGGGGAGATATGAACATAAGTTTATTAATGCCGTGAAATATGTGAAATATGTGATTATTTGAAACCACGCAATAAAGATTGAACTTGAAGTTCATATTATATTTCTGCCAAGAGAAATCTATAGTAATAATGGAGTGACCAATTTGTATATGTATAAATGTACCACAAAGCAAGCAAATACCCTAGGGAATGATTGACTCCTTAATGCTTGAAGCATAAGGTGATATGATATATGAAAGTCCGCGGAAAATATATATTCAAGAATTAACACTCCTTTATAAGAAACTCCTGAAGAGTTGATCCAGTACATCTTGCACGTGCATCAAACCATTATAGTACTGGAAATGCGGAATAGCCAAAATTAGATGTTATGGGAAATGATTATAAATATGGCTAGAAAATATGAAGTTGCATATATGGTTGAGAGAAAAATATAAATTGAATATCAGTTGTCGACAACATACTTGCCTATTGATTGCTTTACTATCTCAAATACTGATCCAGATCAAAATAATGAAAGTGCTAGAAGCACTTAGGTTGATTGAGGTAGAAAGGAAAATTGAGGCAGAGCTTTCACTCGGTACACGGTATATCCCAGGAGGATAGCATATTTCAGAAGGATAATGAATATTTATATGAAACATGTGATGTGGTGGTGTAAATATAGCGAGATTATGCTCATGGGTTTATTCAGAGACCCAAATATTTATTTAGATAAGTTCTCTCATTATCAATGATTCCGCAAGTTAGTATTTAGGGCAGCAACATTACTATGACTATTGAGTCATATGTGAAAGTCCTGGATGGACTCAAGTACCCGAGATGAAAGATAATTAAATCATATATCGTTTAATTATTGAAAATTGTTGGTAAGATGTGGTACAACCAACTAAATTTTTTCTGAAGAAGTAAAGTAAGAAATTCAAGTTAGAACCTTGTGTATAATGATAATATACAAATCATCATCTCGGTCAAATAGATTATGTGGTGAACACTATGTAAAAGATTAAATAAGTTAGCTCATGCTTATAGACGGAGTTAGAATGAAACTCTTGGTTAAATACCAAAGAGTATTAACTCGACTTGTAGATCGAGCATCTCCTAGAAGGAGTATTTTTTACCCAACCAATCTACTTGAATCTCTTTATAGAGATGTAAATTTATAACACCAATGAGTATCAAATATTTTGAATTTGACAAAGATTTATAAAGATCCAAAGAAACAAATGAGGATATTGTAGGACCTGAAGTTCCAATGGACTTGAAGTCCACAAATGACCTGAAGTTTATTTACTAAGCGCAATTGTGCTAAACTTTTATCACGCAAACTGCATCAGGCCTGATACTGCATTTCCGATGAATTTGCTAGCAAGATTTACTATCTCTCTCCTTAGAGAGATGTCGTGATAAATTTGAGAATATCCATTATGCTTTCATGTATGTTGAGTTATCTTTGGACTAGATATATGATATTGGTGGATAAAGACATAAATTGTATAATTGATCCCCAAGTACTGGGTCCTCGATTGGTTATAGACCTCTTAAATGGTATTAACTCTTTACCATTGGTTATTTAGATTTCCCCATATTTATCTTGAAGATAACTCAGTTTGTGTTATACAAATAAATTATGAAAATACATTTGATGATATTTTTGAATCCATATTAACTCCGGAAGAGCAACCAATGACGATTTTATGTAGATACTCTTGCCTTGAGGGGGAGCAACAAATATTTATAAATGTAACTTGAAAGGCTCTTGTCTTCAGGGGGAGCGATAAATAAATCCTGAAGATCGAGCCCGGAAGGCTAATTGTAATCCTGAAAAGTAGGTCCTGTTGGCCGGTGCTGTACTCTTTTTCCCTTAGTTAAGTTTTTTTCCATGGGTTTTACTTAGTAAGGTTTTTAACAAGGCAGCAAGTGTAACACATAAATATGCATATGTCATGTACTCTTTTCCTCGACTATTTTTTTCCCACTGGGTTTTGTAGCTAGGTTTTTAACGAGACATGGACATGATGTAGTAATGTCCAAGGGAGAGTGTTATAAATATATGAGTATGGACATTACTACTCGATAATTGGGCCTGAAGTCCATTAGTTATGGAAATTAGGTTTTAGAGCTTCTCACTTGTAAACCTTATAAAAGGGTGATATACGATGAATAAAAAGATATACTTTTCTGCTCTTCTGTCTCTTGTTCTCTCACTCGTTTCTCTTTACTTTGTTTGGTGTGGATTGATGAATGCTTGAAGATCTCAATTTACAACAAAACTAACAATGCATGAAAAAAATAATCTCACATGTGATTACAACAAAACTAACGGCATATATCTCATTGAAAAAAATCTAATACATAAATTTAAGCGATATGCAATAATGACACGTGATTGCACCAAGCGGGA